CCTGGCCAACTCCTCAGCAATACCAGATAGATTATGTAATGCCTCAGGGCACTGGTTGTAGGAATGCCCCAATACCTGACAGAGGTTACACCGAATTTGGTTACAATCACGAGCTACATGACCCTGGCATAACGAGCATTTCAAAACCTCACAACTTGAGGCGAAGTGCCCCTTGTTGCCACACCGGTGGCAGACTTTCGCTGCCCGGCGTAAAAGACTATTAGTCTATCCTTCCCAAGGAAGGTCGAAGAAGGGAGATGCTTTACCATGTTATTCTCCACCTGCAGCCTTACGGTTGCCGACCATCCCCCAGTCCAGATCCCACGATCATCCAAGATTTTCCTAAGGGAGGCTAACACTTCCCCAAACCAATTTAGCCATACTATAATGTCTGCCGAGGGGATCAACTCATTCCTGACCAGGATTGTAATGGTTTTGACAAGGTGCTGCATAGAAACCACTTTTGGGGTAAGGCCCTCCCACCTGGGGGTCCCCTTCCACTCATTCTCATATTTTTGCCAGAACAAGTCTAGGCACTCCGGCTTCACAAATGATACGTCATATTCCCCGGTCCCCACCGGGGCTATAAAAGCAAATATGCCTACTGCTTTGAAGCCCATATCCAGAATTCTGTCAACAACCTCCCTTTTATTTGGGGGGGCTTCCTCCTTCCCATTTTAGCTGGACAACGTTTCTTCTTTTGATGGTTGGTGGTGATCCCCCTGCCTGACCCTCCAGTGGTCTTGTTACCCCCTGTCTATTTTTTAAAGCCGCTGAATAGCTCAGGGCTCCCTTGGCAACTGGGGCTGAGACGGGGCCCGCAGCTGGGGGCTGAGACGGGGCCCGCAGCTGGGGATGGGGCTATGCTGGCCGCAGCAGACACTGCACCAACCAAATTGGCCTCACACAAAGAACCCATATTATTCATATTTGCATTTGCTGCAGATTTGTCACAAACAACCAAACAAGTGTCCGACACATCACTTACAGTCCCCGCAGCCAGAGAGGCTTTCAACTGCGGCTGCACTGCCTTGCCCTCCTGCGATTTGCAACTGTTTTCCAGCTTGCTGGGAAGTTTTTCCCGCTTTACAAAAAACGATTTCTCAGTCTTTTTTGGCTTAAGTGGCCTAGGGCACTTGTCTGCCTCATCACCAGTGTCATCAGATGAAAATGCGAACTGCCATCCGTGCAGGGGGGACTCTAATGCAGTCACGAATTCCATGGCACCAACCTCCACCTGGGATCCCAAATCTAGCCGCTGTTGCTGAGGGGGGGATGGCTTCCGACTCACCCTCCACTTTCAAACATTCTCCAGCACGCTGAGAAGTAACTTTGCTCACTTCTCCAACCACACCTGGGGGGTCTGACAGTTCCCCGGATGACACCGCCTCTCCAGTCTGGCCCCTCGCGGCAGCTAACGATCGGTCACGGGCCTGCCTGAAACGCTCCTCGTTTATGTATTTCTCCCACATGAACCCGCTGGATGCTTTCACACAGGGCCTCCACTAGATCACATTGCTTGTGCACTGCCTGCTCCATACGCTCAAGCTCAGGCTTCATAGCCTGCCGCTTTGTGCTCCACACACGATCGTACGATGACTTGAACTTCCGTAGGTCATTTCTCATTCTGACCAGCTTGTCTTCCTCCTTCCCGATCCTTGCCACATGGGCCACCACACAGCCCCGATAAGCCGCATACGATTCCCCTCCTTTAGGGCCTTTTCCCAGGTCCTCAATAGCTGGCATGTCAGGACCGGTACTAGGAGCCCCAGGGGTCCCCCCTCCTCCTCCCGGATCCTGGCCGGGCTCTGCCATCCTCTCCTGCGTAGTGCCAGAAATTTAGTCCCTGGCTCAGACTGAGGCCTAGCAGGACCTCGCACAGCACACACTATCTGTGCAGCAGCCACGCCCACTTCCTTCTAATGAGGCTCAGCTGTAGGAATCCTAGAAGGGTGTACAATTACTAAACTGGTCCTCAACTCTAATCAGTGCACCAGATTATATATAAGATTTGTATCTGCCAGTGTGTGGTCGACCAGCTGGATTGGAGTGGAGTCTCCATCTGGTGGTGGCCAAAAAGTAGTGCGGGCTGTAGAAGTGTATCATGGCTGATCATATATACGGTTTTATATATTCAACATTAAGTCCCCTTTATCCCCTCTCTACCTCCCTGTCACAGCCGCACGTGTGCGCCTTGGTTAGCTAGTCAATGTGGGTGTGGCGTGCGGGGGATCCGTGACACAAGGGTTAACACTTGGTGCTGTGATGTGCCTTCCCCTGCACATGTCACTTCTTGCTTCTGATGGGATATACACTATATTGCCCCAAGTCTGGCCTTTCCACACACATGACCTTTTAATGGCCCCCCAGTCTTAGTCTGTAGGGTTCAGTATTGAGTTGGCCCCGCCCTGTGCAGCTATAACAGCTTCAACTCTTCTGGGAAGGCCGTCCACAAGGTTTAGGAGGGTGTCTATGGGAAGGTTGGACCATTCCCAAAGGCAAACATGGGAACCACCACAGGTACTTAGCGAGGCCTTGCGGACTGTGGTTCCAAGCAGGTGCCTTGGAGGGTTCTGTTCTACAGTAGGCCCTAACTTAGGGGCCCAGCCATGTGATACGCTACCCTTACCTGTAGAACCTCTGTCACCGGCCACCACCAATCTCTCTCCCTCACAGACAGACCACAAGGTCTGGTCTCCTCCTACATACACTATATTTCCAAAAGTATTGGGCCTGCCCACCAAATCATGTGATTCAGGTGTTCTAATTCCCTCCCAATCATGTGATTCAGGTGTTCCAATCCCCTCCATGGACACAGGTGTATACAATCAAGCCCATAGGCATGCAGACTGCTTCTACAAACATTGGTGAAAGAATGGGTCGCTCTCAGGAGCTCAGTGACTCCAAGCGTGGTCCCGTGATAGGTGGCCACCTGTGCAATAAGTCCATCCGTGACATTTGCTGGCTATTAAATATTCCATGCTCAACTGTTAGTGGGATTATAACAAAGTGGAAGCAACTGGGAACAACAGCCACTCAGCCACCAAGTGGTAGGCCACGTCACATGACAGGGCGGGGTCAGCGCATGCTGAAGTGCTCAGTACGCAGAAGTCGCCAACTGTCTGTAGAGTCAATAGCTAAAGACCTTCAAACTTGGTGTGGCCTTCAGATGAGCCCAACAACAGTGCATAGAAAGCTTCATGGAATGGATTTCCATGGCCGAGCAGCTGCATCCAAGCCTTTCATAACCAAGTGCAATGCAAAGCGTCGGATGCCGTGGTGTAAAGCACGCCGCCACTGAACACTAGAAGCACGCTTCTTTGTCTGGCAATCTGATGGACGTGTCTGGGTTTGGCGGTGGCCAGGAGAACGGTAGTTGCCTGACTGCATTGTGCCAAGTGTAAAGTTTGGTGGAGGGGAGATTATGATGGGGGGGGGTGACATTTTGGACAATTTCATGCCCCCAACTTTGTGGGAAGAGTTTGGGGATGGCCCCTTCCTGTTCCAACATGACTGCCCACCAGTGCACAAAGCAAGGTCCATAAAGACATGGAGGAGCCAGTTTGGGGTGGAGGAACTTGACTGGCCTGCACAGAGTTCTGACCTCAACCCCATAGAACACCTTTGGGATGAATTAGAGCGGAGACTGCGAGCCAGGCCTCCTGTCCCGACATCAGTGCCTGACCTGACAAATATGTTTCTGGAAGAATGGTCCAACCTTCCCATAGATACCCTCCTAAACCTTGTGGACAGCCTTCCCAGAAGAGTTGAAGCTGTTATAGCTGCAAAGGGCGGGGCCAACTCAATATTGAACCCTACAGACTAAGACTGGGGGGCCATTAAAGGTCATGTGCGTGGAAAGACCGGTGGCCCAATACTATGGGCAATATAGTGTATGTGTGTGTGTTATTTGTGAATTCTGACATTTCTTCCATTCCTCTCCATCAGATGGCGCTGATGTCAGGAATTCCTCGGAGAGACGTCTTCTATTATCTGCTGATTGGAAGTCAGAAGATAATGCCATCACACAGGATTCTCCAGGAGTGAATCCAAATACACCCAATATCCATCACAGACCTTCCTGTCCGGAGACATCAATGGATCCCTCTGATCAGGAGGAATCTTCTGACCAATCACATACTAGGAGTGCAAATGTCCATTTAGGATCTCACACTGCAGAGAGATCAACAGATCCACCTAATCCCAAAGATTCTTCCGCACCCCATGTAAGGGTTCACAGAGGTGGAAATATATTCTCATGTTCAGAGTGCAGGAAATCTTTCAATAAGAAAGGAAATTTAATTCAGCACCAGAGAGTTCACACGGGTGAGCGCCCCTATTCATGTTCAGAGTGCGGGAAATCTTTCGCCCAGAAAGGAAACCTTATGCAACACCAGAAATTTCACACGGGTGAACGTTCCTTTTCATGTTCAGAGTGCGGGAAATCTTTCCACAAGAAAGATAATCTTGTTAGACACCATAAAATTCACACAGGTGAGCGTCTCTATTCATGTTCAGTGTGCGGGAAATCATTCACTCATAGAGGAGACCTTGTTAGGCATCAGAGAATTCACACGGGTGAACGTCCCTTTTCATGTTCAGAGTGCGGGAAATCTTTCCTTAAGAAAGATAATCTTCTGAAACATCAAAAAATTCACACAGGTGAGCGTCCCTATTCATGTTTAGAGTGCAGGAAATTTTTCACTCATAAAGAAGACCTTGTTATACATCAAAGAATTCACAAGGGTGAACGTCCCTATTTGTGTTCAGAGTGTGGGAAAGCCTTCACTCATAAAGGAGAGCTTGTTAAACATCAAAGAGTACATACGGGGGAGCGTCCTTATTCGTGTTCAGAGTGTGGGAAATCTTTTATTGGGAAAGGTGCCCTTGTTAGACATCAGAGAGTCCACACAGGAGAACGTCCTTATTCATGTTCAGCATGCGGGAAATCATTCACTCAAAAATCAGGTCTTTATAAACATCAGAGAGTTCACACACGGGTGAACGTCCTTATTCATGTTCAGAGTGCGGGAAATCTTTCAATCATAAAGAAAACCTTGTTAAACATCAGAGAATTCACATTGGTGAGCGTCCTTATTCATGTTCGGAGTGCAGTAAATCTTTCACTCAGAAAGGTAACCTTGTGCAACACCAACGATTTCACATGGGTGAGCGTCCTTATTCATGTTCAGTGTGCGGGAATTCTTTTCTTAGGAAAGATCGCCTTGTTAGACATCAGAGAATTCACACAGGTGAGCGCCCGTATTCATGCTCAGAGTGTGGGAAATCTTTCACACGTAAAAGAGGCCTTGTTGAACATCATAGAATTCACACGGGTGAGCGTCCTTATTCATGTTCAGAATGCGAGAGATCCTTCACTCATAAAGGAGACCTTGTTAAACATCAAAGAATTCACACGGGTGAGCGTCCTTATTCATGCTTAGAGTGCGGGAAATCTTTCACTCATAAAAGAGGCCTTGCTAAACATCAGATAATTCACACGGGTAAGCGCCCCTATTCCTGTTCAGAGTGCGAGAAATCTTTCATTCAGAAAGGAGACCTTGTTCTGCATCAAAGAATCCACACGGGTAAACGTCCTTATCTTTGTTCAGAGTGCGGGAAATCTTTCACTCATAAAGGAGACCTTGTTATACATCAGAGAATTCACACGGGTGAGCGTCCTTATTCATGTTTGGAATGCGGGAAATCTTTTATTTGTAAAGGAGAGCTTGTTAAACATGAGAGAACTCACACGGGTGAGCTTCCCTATTCCTGTTCAGAGTGCGGGAAATCTTTCACTCGTAAAGGAGGCCTTGTTATACATCAGAGGATTCACACTGGTGAGAATCCTTTTTCATGTTCAGAGTGTGGGAAATCATTCAAGCATAAAGAGTACCTTGTAAAACATCTGAGAATTCACACAGGTGAGCGTCCCTTTTCATGTTCACAGTGTGAAAAAACCTTCATTCAGAAAGGAGACCTTCTTAAACACAACAGAATTCACAAGGGTGAGCGTCGTTAATCATTCTCAGAGTGTGGGAAATTTTTCTATAGAAAGGATAATCTTGTTAAACACCAGAAAATACAGTGTGGTGGAGGGAGGAGATTTGTCAGAGAATGTAGTGTGGATGGTGGGGGAGGAGAGCTGTCAGAGAATGTAGTGTGGATGGTGGGGGGGAGAGCTGTCAGAGAATGTAGTGTGGATGGTGGGGGGAGAGCTGTCAGAGAATGTAGTGTGGATGGTGGAGGAGAGCTGTCAGGGAATGTAGTGTTGATGGTGGGGGGAGGAGAGCTGTCAAAGAATGTAGTGTGGATGGTGGGGGGGGGAGCTGTCAGAGAATGTAGTGTGGATGGTGGAGGAGAGCTGTCAGAGAATGTAGTGTGGATGGTGGAGAAGAGCTGTCAGAGAATGTAGTGTGGATGGTGGAGAAAGAGCTGTCAGAGAATGTAATGTAGATGGTGGGGGGAGGAGAGCTGTCAGAGAATGTAATGTGGATGGTGGGGGGAGGAGAGCTGTCAGAGAATGTAGTGTGGATGGTGGAGGAGAGAGCTGTCTGAGAATGTATTGTGGATGTTGGGGGGAGGAGATCTGTCAGAGAGTGTAGTGTGGATGGTGGAGGAGAGCTGTCAGAGAATGTAGTGTGGATGGTGGGGGGAGGAGAGCTGTCAGAGAATGTAGTGTGGATGGTGGGGGGAGGAGAGCTGTCAGAGAATGTAGTGTGGATGGTGGGGGGAGGAGAGCTGTCAGAGAATGTAGTATGGATAGTGGGGGGAGGAGAGCTGTCAGAGAATGTAGTGTGGATGGTGGAGAAGAGCTGTCTGAGAATGTAGTGTGGATGGTGGAGGAGAGCTGTAAGAGAATGTAGTGTGGATGGTGGGACGAGGAGAGCTGTCAGAGAATGTAGTGTGGATGGTGAAGGAGAGCTGTCAGAGAATGTAGTGTGGATAGTGGAGGAGAGCTGTCAGATAATGTAGTGTGGATGGTGGGGGGGGAGAGCTGTCAGAGAATGTAGTGTGGATGGTGGAGGAGAGCTGTCAAGGAATGTAGTGTGGATGGTGGGGGGAGGAGAGCTGTCAGAGAATGTAGTGTGTATGGTCGAGGAGAGCTGTCGGAGAATGTAGTGTGGAGCGTGGAGGAGAGCTGTCAGAGAATGTAGTGTGGATGGTGGGAGGAGAGCTGTCAGAGAATGTAGTGTGGATGGTGGGAGGAGAGCTGTCAGAGAATGTAGTGTGGATGGTGGGACGAGGAGAGCTGTCAGAGAATGTAGTGTAGATGGTGGGAGGAGAGCTGTCAGAGAATGTAGTGTGGATAGTGGAGGAGAGCTGTCAGAATGTAGTGTGGATGGTGGGGGGAGAGCTGTCAAAGAATGTATTGTGGATGGTGGAGGAGAGCTGTCGGAGAATGTAGTGTGGATGGTGGGGGGAGGAGAGCTGTCGGAGAATGTAGTGTGGATGGTGGAGAAGAGCTGTCGGAGAATGTAGTGTGGATGGTGGAGGAGAGCTGTCAGAGAATGTAATGTGGATGGTGGGGGGAGGAGAGCTGTCAGAGAATGTAGTGTGGATGGTGGAGTAGAGCTGTCAGAGAATGTAGTGTGGATTTCCTGGGAAATTCCTGCAGCTTAACATCTCCACCTCTAGGACCTCTGGCGGTACTTTTGACTTTGCACCTCGGGCTTTCTTTTGGCTCTCTCCATCACTAATCAAGCAAGAATGCTGAGCTCTCTGTCTACTCTTTGGCTTTTGTCACGGACTGCCCAGCTGGTACCACTAAGTCCTGTTCAGCCACTCTGCCCCCTACTGGGAGTGGATTCCTGATCTCTGAAGGTGTGGATGGGAGGAGCTCCTGGAGAATGTAGTATGGACATTGAGAGAAGAGATCCAACATCGGGGTGCAGAGAGTGTTTTAGTGATGTGGACTCGGCTGAGAGAAACAATGGGTGGTGGGGATGTAGACTCTGATGACCAAGGAATGCCCCTACCAGGGTGCAGCGCTGAGTACTTTTCTGAATTTCAGTGTAAATCTCCAGGAGGGACGGGATCCTTTCCGAGTCCATTCATTCCTGGTGATAGGTCCTCCAGCACTGTACGTCGGGCTAATTACTCAGATTTGGGCTCTGCTCTATACACTGAACACTTTCGGGGAAGACGTGATGGAATCTCTGATGGAAAGCAGAAAATCCGATATCTTTTGATAAAACTGGGAAGATCTATTATCCATTAGATGATGTAACTCTGCCACAATAACTTCCAGTGATGTCAGATGTCAGTCTGCTATGAAGGGACATGGACCATAATAATTAGATCCAGTCCTGTGCATATTGGTAACCATCTTAATTCTCTGTTAAAAATGCAAATGTTTATACCATTAACGTGTGTACTTTATAAATTTCTGCACCAAATTCAGTTTTTCCGTCTTTTTTTTACCATAATTATAAATAATTCTGAGCCGAACGTACCCGGGTTTGATTCGACATAGCTTACTGAACTTTTAATCCTGAAGTCGAACCTTAGAAACCAGCAATGGCCATTTAAGTCTTTGAGCAGGCTTGTTGTATCTGTAAAGAAAAAAAATGTCTGCTTGTTTCAAATGTAAAAGAAATAAAAATGATTTAGATTTGTACCACATCTCTGAAGCCTTTATTGGATAGGCAGCAATTTTTGAGGGAGAGAGCAAGCACATTGCATCAAGAAACAAAAATGTGTGCCTTATGAAAATGAGTATAGGAAAATGTTAGATATTTACCCCATTTAAGAGTAGAAGGTGAAGAGCCGGAAACTCGTTCTCCCAATAAAAGTACTTTATTTATAACGGGTACAGTGCGTAAATTACAGCAACTTACGCGTTTCAGTAAAAAACGTAATTCGTGGCCATTTACCCCACATAGAGCAAGCCTGGAACAGAAAAGTAGTTTTATGTGTCAAATATCAAATTTAACAGATTGAACAGAACTGCACCACACTGTCAAGTCTTCATTGGAATAGGGTGCAATTTCTTAGGGAGATTGTAAATAGATTGCATCCTGCAAATGGTTTCCTTTTTCACTGGCTGAATAAAGAAAAATGGACAGATTTACTACAAAGCTTATAATCACTTTTGGCAAAGCTGAAAATTGGAATGTATTTCTAGTTTTTCCACAAATGAGACAAGTTACAGACCTACTGCCAACTGTACAGCGACTACCCACCTACTGCACACTGTACGCCGACTACCTGCCTACTGCCTACTGTACGCCGACTACCTGCCTACTGCATACTGTACGCCGACTACCTGCCTACTACGCACTGTACGCTGAATATCCACCTACTGCATACTGTAAGCCAACTACCTGCCTAATGCACACTGTACGCCGACTACCCACCTACTGCACACTGTATGCCGACTACCTGCCTACTGCATACTGTACGCCGACTACCTGCCTACTGCTTACTGTACGCCGACTACCTGCCTACTGCATACTGAATGCCGACTGCCTGCCTACTGCGTACTGTACGCTGCCTACTGCATACTGAACGCTGACTACCTGCCTACTGCACACTGTACGCCGACTACCTGAATACTGTACGCCGACTACCTGCCTACTGCACATTGTACACTGACTACCTGCCAACTGCATACTGTACGCTGACTACCTGCCTACTGCACACTGTACGCCGACTACCTGGCTACTGCATACTGTACGCCGACTACCTGCCTACTGCTTACTGTACGCTACTTGCCTACTGCACATTGTACACTGACTACCTGCCTACTGCATACTGTACGCTGACTACCTGCCTACTGCACGCCGACTACCTGCCTCACTGCACACTGTATGCCGACTACCTGCCTCACTGCACACTGTCTACCTGCCTACTGCATACTGAACGCTGACTACCTGCATACTGTATGCCGACTACCTGCCTCACTGATGTTGTGCCTCCTCACTTTCCTCCTTTTCGATATCTTGCACCTATGTAAAGTTGGAGACCTCATCATCAAGCCCCCCGAGCCTACCTCTACACATTGCCTCCTTTGTGTAACAAACATTATTTTACTGTCGGTGCTGGCTGATTTACCACTTTCCCCCAAACCATAAAATATATGCATCCCTATAGGAGAGGAATTACATTGGGTTATGGTGAATGAAAGTACACC